CCTCCGGGGCAGGGGAAAGGGGTTGGGGGTGGGGGGGAGGGAGGGAAAGTGGAGCAATAGAAAAACACCAACGTCTCTTCCCTCGACAATCTCTTCATATTGAAAGTTTGCTGTTGTGTACTTCAGAACCAGGACTCTTGCCTCATGCCCCCTCCCACAACAGAAAGAAGGAAAAAACCTCATTCTCTGCTGAAGTTTTCTCTCTCTCTCTCTCTCTCTCTCTCTCTCTTTTCTCTCTTTTTTTTTTTTTAACCTCTTTTTTTATTTTCTTTTTAAGTGAAGTTTCAGACTTTGGTGTGTAGTGCACAGCTTGAATTTGGTCGGGAGCTTAGCAGGGGTCATTCAACAGAGCTCAGTGCTCCTTGTAAGCCAATCCATATCCTAGGCTAATCTGAAAAACTGCCCTGGGCTGGGGCTGGAGAGAGGAGGAAGCGGGAAGGCGAGATTTAGGTTGGGGGGGGGGGGAGTGTTACTGTGGCTGGAGCTTGGTGCTGCTAGTGGAAGGCTTCCATTTAAAAAGTCAGTGCTAGCAGTGAGGAAATCTGTAGCTTCATTACGGAAAGAGTCTCCCAAGCAGGCTGTATATAATATATACACACACATGCACAAGCACATGCAGTTAGCTTTACTGAGACGCAGCCTACCTGTGTCATTGGAGGTCCTCCAATGGGCCTGTGGGGTTTTTTTGTTTTTAACAAGCTGCAGGAGAGCGCGTGGGGAGTGCGGGCAGCTGTGATCTTCAGCAGAGAGGAGCGGAGGCACCCAGTCCTGTGGCAGGGGGGCTCACTGGAAAAGGGCCACTGTTGAAAGCATTTCCCACGTTTCTCAGTTGGAACTGGCTTCCCTTTCCTGAGGTGCATAGAAGAAAGAGACACCAGGGTGGGTGACGCCAACTGTACCAGTCTGCTGGTTTCTTTGTCTGGTTTTTTGTTTTTTTGTTTTTTTTTTTGCCTAATACAGTTTGAATTTGCTGAATGCCACCTCCTCCAGTAGTTCCCATTTTAATCTGTGGCTAGC